ATATATAATTTTGTATTATTTGGTAAAATAATACAAGTTCTTTCGGAGCCTTCAACGATATTCGACGTACCCGATATCGTGTTAACATTATTTTCAGCTAATATTAAGTCCAAAAAGTATTTTTGTCTTGAAGAATAGTATGAGTAGTTGCACTATCAATTAAGCAGCTGTCTTGACTATCTATCATGAATCTATAAATATAACAAAATAAACAAAATTTAAAAAAAAAACTTGAATTTAGATTTAAAGAAGTAAACATTACTTAATATCATGAAATAAACGGTGCATAATAGAGTTTTATTTCTTATTTTTTTATATTTTTGTGCGGAAAAGTAAAAACATATTTCAGACTGAATTTTTAAAACGAAAGAAATACTTGTAAATTAATCTATATCTTCTATCACACCACCCCCAACCAAATGGTCAATATTTCCATTTGGATCAGTAAAGAAATCGGAGACATCCAAATGAGTCACATCAATTGGACCATCATAATCAGCAAAATTAGTCTCCAATTTTTCTTTTCCCTTAATTGATCTCTGGTAGAGATCCACAAGATATTTTGAGATACGACACGTACGTGCTCAATGCCCTTTCATTCCACATCTGAAGCAACTTTCTTCATGTTCCTTTTTAGATTTGTCACTCTCGTTTGCTTTGTGCCTTTTGAATTTATTGCCTTGTTGTTGATAACTTTGTTGATTATTTCTTCCATGATTTATTCCACGTACACGTCCGTGTCCGTGTCCTTGTCCAAGTCCAAATCTGTGTCCACGTCCACGTCCTTGTCTTGATAATAGTATTTGCTTCAGACAATGTAGTACCATTTGCTTCAGGCAATGGTACAGAACCAGTTGGACGTAATCCATGATTTTTCATTAACAATTCATTATTTTGTTCAGCAACTAATAGACAAGATATAAGTTATGAGTACTTTTTGAAGCCACGATCACGATATTGCTGCTGTAGGAGCACATTCGAGGCATGAAAGGTGAAGAAAGTTTTTTCTAGCATATCTTCATCGGTGATTTTTCTCCACACAAAGTCAACTTTGAACATATTCTGAACAATTCAAAATTGTACTCACTAACCGTTTTAAAGTCTTGCAAACGAAGGTGCATCTACTCATAACGGGCTTTGAGGAGGACTATAGTCTTCTGGTGATCAAATATTTCAGTTAACTTTTTCCAAAGAACTTGTGGATCTTTCTCAATGAGATATTCAATTTTTAATCCATCGTGAAGATGGTGACGGAGGAAAATGAGTGCTTTTGCACGATCCTGCAGGGATTCATTGTTTCCTTCTTTTATTGTCTCTCCCAAACCCTTTGAGACGAGATGGATATCAGCATCCAGTATCCATGATAGATAATTTTTACCAGATATGTCAAGTGCAGCAAACTCAAGTTTCGTAATGTTTGCTATTTGTTTAACTACACAATAAAAAAATACAATTAGTTTCGAAGAATATGATTAATCATCACATGTTAATCAAATAGTCAATATCAACATGACTTTAAATTACGTGTTTTCCTTTAGGGATAAACATTAATTTGAAATAATATGTTTTTCGAAACATATGCTACTTCTGAAGCACATTATATTTTGTTATTATTTCTTCAAGTGCAATATGTCAATATTCTTCTGGAATATTGAGAGTTATAATTTATGCTCTTTAGGAGCAAATAATATTCTTATAATGTTGTGCTACTTTTGGAGCAACAACGAATAAATCTATTATTAATATTTTTCTGGAATATTAATTATAATGTTGTCCTATTTCAGGACCAACAACAATTAAAAATAAATTTAATGTAATGTTTCATAACTAAACATAAAAAAAATGATAATACATCCAATTGCTCACCATTAATTAATATACAAATACATGTAAAATATTATTTTGTATTAATAACGTGAGTCGAGTGAAACACAAAAAAAATTGGTAACATGTAGAAACCTATTCACATATTATGGCACGAAATTCTAATTATGTGTAATTAAAAGAATTGAATTAGTATTAACCAATTAAGGCATGAAATTTGAAAAAACCAATGGATTTGAGAGAAAAGATAAGTTGGGTACAGTTATTTGTTAATTGTATATTATATATATATATGGAATCAGCTAAAATAGAGATCTAGAATTGAAGCTTGCTTACAAAGAACATTGACCAATTGAATAAAAAAAAATTATAAGCATGTGTAGAACGTAAAGGGCTAATCTAAAATTGATGTTTGACTTTGATTTGAAATTTTAAAGAGTTTATAATTTATCCAATAAGCACATAAAGTAAAGGCGTGTTTGGTCGGACTATTGCTTTTGCTTCTACTTATTGTTGACGTGCTTTCACCATAATTGGTATTTGTAAACTAATTTTTTTTTGAAGTTTTTAGAGAAAATCCTGTAGAGATAACTTTTTATCAAAGTTCTTGTAATTAGATGAAATATGTTTATTAAATCAATCAAACGGGGTTCAAAAATATTTTTTGGATCTCAAAAATTCATTTTAACTTTTTAAGAGTCATGTCAAACGGATTATAAATATCTCTAAAAATAATTAACAGATATAGTGAAAATCATTTTCTCATAAAGAATACGAAAATAAAAAAGGAAGACAAGCGGGGGAGAGTGATAATGGGAAAGTCCACCAATATACTTGGCTGAAATGGAAAGTAAAGAGACCATACGTTCATCGTCGGTTAAATGATTGATCATTCAAGAAAAATTTAGCTCAAAATTAACCACAAATATATGATTAAAGTAAAGAGACCATACTTTAGCTTCCTATCCTCATATTACTACAAAAAAATTCGAAAACAAGGAAATAAACTGCTCTCTATAATATCATTAAGAATAATATTATTTACAGTCGCACGCTATCGCAATTACTTTATGTGACATACACGTGAAAATTAGTGATTTATTACATAAAATAATTAAAAATTATCACATTAATGTATCAAATCATTAATCGTCATGTGTATGTCATATGTGACGACTAAGACAATGAATGATTACAAATAGTATTATTCTATCATTAATAGTAAAGATCTAATCAAAGTCACACTTCAAATAAGGTCTTGAAAGGATGAGGGGTCGTTTGATGAAACTTTTGATAAAAAAATTAAGTAGATTTAGATTAAATATTTAAAGTTGATAAAATATGTGATCGAAAAGCTTATAAAAAATATGGATCCCTTAAAATAAGTGATTAATATTAATTATTGAATTTGATCTCAATTTTTTTTAGCAACTTTTAATCTGTACCAAACAAACACCAAGTGACACTATACAAATATAAAAACTATTAACATTTTCTGGAATTGTTGCCAATCCTCAAGTCAATTTTACTCGTTCATGAGCAAATTAAAAGAAGGCCTGTTCAAGTTGATTTTTTACGAACTTTCAGAAAAATAGGACCAAACTCATTAATAGAATCCACTCCCTATTTATAATTTCAATACTATTCTCCAGATAACACCAAAGCTGTTGGAAATTCAATTACAAATTAAAAAATGGATAATATTCCTTGCGATGGCCATATTTACATCCACCATTTTTATATATACATCTATATGTAAAAAAATAATTATGTTGCATTTTTAATCTTTTGTAAATTTATTAAATAGACATACATAAATAAAATATTTCGCTCTAAATCCATAAATCTTTTTATATTTTTTTAGAATTCATGTTTAACTAGAATTTTAATAGTTATAAAATATCATCTTCAACTAAAGAGTGAATTGTTCAAATGGTCATTGAACTTTGCAAAAAATTTCTAAGAGGCACTAAACTTTAAAAATCGTCTAAATGGTCACTGAACTTTGTAAAATATTTTTAGGGGTCACTGAACTTTAAAAATTACATAAATAGTCACTGAACTTTACAAAAAGTTTTCCAGGGGTCACTGAATTCAGTGATCTCGTGGAAACCTTTTGTAAAGTTCAATGATCTCGTGAAAATCTTTTGCAAAGTTCAGTGACTATTTATGTGATTTTTAAAGTTCAGTGATTCCGTAGAAACCTTTTGCAAAGTTTAACGATCATTTATGTGATTTTTAAAGTTTAGTAGTCGCTTGAAAATATTTTACAAAATTCAGTGACCATTTGGACAATTCACTCTCTGCTAAAAAGCAAAACTAAAGGATTTGGATCAGAACTAAAAGGAGAAAGCTCTTAAATAGGAAGATGTACAAAGAAGGGAATGGGTATAGACAACCTAAACGATCAACCCGTATCATAACAATAGCACTAAAAACTTTGTTATATTTTGTTAACTTTAAAGAGATTGAATGCAATTCACTTTCTGATATCCATCAATTAATGTCCGTAACTCGGATCATGTCAAGAATACTCTAAATTTCATCATCTTTTCACATTCACATTGAAATCAAACAATTCCATCAAATTTTTAAGCCATTTTCACCCAAATAAGGAACAGAGAATATGAAGTAAAAATTTGATGAATTTTACGAGAACCCAATTCAGTATATCCAAATTTTATGAATTTTATGAGAACCCAATTCAAAAACTCAATGAATTTTATGTCACGCCTCTTTGAACAAATTCTTGAATCCACAAAGACCAGCAAAAATTACTTGAATATGTTCGAAACACTCTAATACTTAGAATTTTAATAAACAAATAATTTAGTAAACAATAAAAGAGACACCCATAGAGCAATATCATAAAAATTTATTATTTTAAATACTATTTGTACAATCTTTGAACCGATGTATTTTGGAATTACACAAGAAAATACCATCTTGATGTTATATGTAATGTGGATGAATATAGAGATTTAAAATAATAATAATAATAATAATAAAATAAATAAAAATTGAAATTGTATTAGGGATATATTAGAGTGGGATGAATATATATAAAATTTATGTAAATTTACAGTGTTTAAAATGAACGAATTTAATAAGGACAATATTGGAACGTGACGTGGATGAAAATAATAATTTTTAAACATTTAATATTTCAAGAGGGATAAACATAGAGTGAGATGAATATATAACAATTGTGGATGTAAATACCAGTTCCCTTACTTACATATGCAAGTAGCATTTGGCTTATATAAACAATGTTGCCATGGCAGAAGGCCATCCCTAAAGACACAAACACTACCAAATTAACCCAAAATACTCGTAGTTTTTCAGTTGATCAAATGTCATACAACAGCTTCTCAAACACTTTCATATGTTCTGTTTGAAGTGAAATCGCAACAGATAAGCTCCCGTCATTTTCTGGACTTGGCAATACAAAACTCAAACCTTCGTAGGCGATCCCACCGGGTCCCATAAAGATCGGCCTACCCCAGCCGAAGTCTGCATCGTGGATTGGCAGCCGAACCCAACTTGTTATTCCAAGATTTGGACACCTAAAAGTATGCGCACCTCGAACAAGTGCCTTAAGATCCGGTTGCAATTCCAGGTAATCGAGAGCAGATCTCAAGTAATCATTGTCCATTCGGGCTAAAGCATCGTTAATTTTACTGGCTGCATACCATACGGGCTTTGATTGGAGATCACCAGCTACTGCAAGCGGTGTGGCTGTGAATATCACATTCCCAAAATAGCCATCAGGGAGTAGAGGTTGGAGCCTAGAACGCCCATCGGTTGCAATGTAGAGCTTCGTCTCCTGATCCACGGGAAGTCCTCGTGCATTACACGCACAACGCCATACGTGCCCTGCCAACATTGCATACGAGCTATAGGGAATCGTGTTTTCCTCATCCTTCGACTTGGATTTTAGGGCATTGAGTTGGGCACGAGTTAGTTTGAATATGGAAATAGCTGTATCCGGCTCAGATTTAGAGTTATTTTGAGAAGGGGTTTTCATGGCCGGAGCAGGCTGGTACTCGATGTGCTTGAACTGTGGCTTGGGTGGATCACGCGCACGGAGGAGAGTCCGGTCGATGAAAGGCGAGATGGTAATGTCTAGACCACGGGCCATATCGGACCATGTATTGATAAAATGAAGACCAGAAAATCCATCTGCTACGTGGTGTTGCATTCCAACACCTAGTGAGACTCCTCCACATTTGAAATAGGTGACCTGCATAATAAATTGCATCAGTTTTGCTGGTTTTAATTTTAACTGAGCTAGAAAAAGCATTAAATTCTCAAAAAACAATCACAAGTCTTAGATATACTTTTTTCCTTGTCACTACTTGGCTTCTATTTTCTAAAATCATTTTTCTTTAAACTCATTTTTAACCACATATTTTATGAATCCCACAATTTTTAACAACTTTTCAACTCACATTTTATTAACTTTGTCAAAATCTAATTTTTAACTAATCAAATGAGGACTCGAATGCAATCACTTCCAAATATTTTTGGGTTTTGATGCAGCCAAGAGAGGGGGGCCCGCGTCTAATAAAAAAATCACTAGCCCCCTCTTGCAGGGGAATTGTACACCGAGAAGCTCGGTGTACGTGAAGCAAAATCCAATGTTTATTTGCATGAAGATGCATTTTTTATTTATGTATGGTACAATAAATTCATGTGGGTTTTTTTTTTTTTTTTGGGTCGTTTTTCCTATTCAAGGTATCTCTTTATTTTGTTCCAAAATAATTAGAGTGAAAACAAGACTAATTGCCACTTCCTTTAGCCAATGTTTGGTTTGGTTTAAAATTAGATTTTTGATAAATTTTGATAAAAAAATGATGAAATTTGTGATTGATGTCGATAAAGATTTTGATCTATGCAATTGAAAATGAAAATGAAATTTTAAAAACTTGGACAAAATAGGAAAAAAGTCATACCAAATGCGCTGACAAAACTAACACAAATGACCTGAATTATTTATTTTAACAAAAGTAACATGTTAACACGTTTTAGGTGGGACTTTACCGTAATTGCCACAACTTGATAAGTCATGTCGTGATGAATTGTGGCACACAATATATATATTATTATAAATTAATGAAGCATAATATAAAATAATCAATGGAGTCGTCACACGCACACATTCTAAACCAATGTAGAACCAGAATCGCACCTGTAACACCAGAAGTGGGTACGTCGATATTGGTTGAGAATAATCCACTGCCGGAATAAGGAGGCGGAGCTCCAGCGTCGGAGGCGGTGGGGTGGGGTGGGGTGGGGTGGGGGGAAGAGGAAGAAAAATAGTAGTTTCTTTTATTTTTATTTGGTATATTAGTTTATTTGTTTTATTATAAAATTAAATAGCAAATTTACCTTTCTAACCTTTTAAATTGGTCAAAAATTGTTCAAAATTCAAATGTATTGGTCAACTAAAAATCAAACGGACGGTTTCCATCCATTTGAACCCTCGGTACATATTTTTGAAAGGTTTTGGACTGTGGATGGTACAAACTAAAGATTTGGACAAAGTCTGCTAATAAATGAAAGGTTTGGTACCTCGAATGCAATTTTTTCTAAGAAAAAACAACTTATAATAAAAAATGGGTAAAATAATTGGCCCTTGTTTGAGCCCCATTTTTTGGAATGGAACGAATTTTTGAATAGTGTAATGATGGAAAATATGTAGTTAAAAAATAAGAAAAAATTTTAGATTTACGTGTAATATTATTTTATTAAAGAATGTGTGATTGAAATGATGTTAAAATATTGTTGAAAAATATATTTTTTCAAAAGAATGTGACTCAAACGAGTGTTTAAAATCTGAAAAGGAGAAGAAAAACAATTTTATAAAAGACAAATGAGATAGCAAGGGAGTTGGTGAGATGGTGACCCAAAAGAGAAAAATATTTTTATCATCACCAAGTCTTTTGAAACTTTACCAGCTGGTCTTAGGAGTAGTGGGACAAGTAGGTCCATTGTACCGGCAGGGTTAATCAAAGTAATGAATCGAGAAATTTTTGAACATAAAAATCAAATTTTAATTTTAAATTTCAATTAAGATATTAATTCATTAAAAGTTTGGGAGTTAAATATTAAAGAATTGAACATAGTTAAATCACATATCAAAATGCACACAAAACTCTCCTCTTTTCGACATGAGTGATATTAGAACACACAACCTTCTTCAATCGAATTTAAGTAATAGTCATAAATAGAATTTCGACAAAGAGATATATCATATTATATTTGTCCAATTTTCAAATTTTGTAGGTTAGAGACCATTTGATTGTTAGTCCATTTTAATTCTTACCTTTTCTACTAAATTTAAGATTTAGTTGTGTTAATTAACTTGATAAATGATAAGTGTCATTAATCACATCATCCACAACCATTAGATTTAAGAAGCTTCAATATTGTTTCAGTTAGCCGAAAAATTGTTTGAAAGGTGTAATTAATCACATAATCCAAATTAACAATTTGATTGAAGTATGGGATGTGTCATTATCTGTCTAGAGGAATCGATCATATTCTTTTAATAAAATAATTTTACATGTAAATTTAAAATTTTTCATTATTTTTTAATTACATATTCTTTAAATAAATCATTATTACAAAATATATTTCCTAAACTATAGGGCTCAAATAGAATAATAGATGTGGTATAACAGGGCTCAAGCAGTCCAGTTTAGACAATTTATGATAAATATTCAAATCAAAATATTTAAAATGAATTAAAAAATTTAAATCTAAAATCTAAATCAAACGTTTAAATGGTTTGAGGGAAAAAAACTGGAATAGAAATTAATTGACTCGAGGTTAAGATTGTAATTTAGGAATATGACCGTGTGCAATTTAGATACTTCTTTATTTTACTAACAGGAAGCACGTGCGTTACATGTCTCATGCACGAAATGAATGATATACATAATTTTTTGAAGGAAAAACTCTCCTCATCCAGGGCCACAAAGGCCCTGGATTTCTAGCAGAGTTATTTTTAAAGTAAGGTAATTGATAATATTAAATAAAAATTAAATATGTTATATATATGAATAAAATTTTTATGAAATTATGTACATATAATGTGAAAATGTTGAATAAGTTGAAATGTAATTTTTGTTTACTTATTTATTCATTTATGCTAGACATTGGTTGGACCTCTATTTTCAACCATTACAACGGCATCGACCAATTTTGTGAACACAAAAAAGAATCAATTTAAGAAATGTATATTTGATTAAGTTGAAATGCTTACTTATATAAGTAAACTAAAAATTCATAAATGATTTTTAAAATAAAAAATTACTTATTTTGTCTGTTAGATAAACATTTTTACCTTAAAAATTTAAAATAAAAAATACCATATTTAAAAACTTTTAGAAACAAAAAAAATTAAGTATTGATCGTGTTCGTCATATTTATCCCTAGCATATTTATTTTAAATTAAAATCTATGTAGAAGGTTTGACCTAAGTAGAATTCATATTGTGAGTTTACCCGTCTTTATGGTCAGCCTGCTGAGTTTGGCTATAAAGTTTTACGAGTTACTCTAATCATGCTGATGAACTGAGCAACCTACTATGAAAAGAATTAGGCCTATTTTGACAGAGTTTCCACGTTTTTAGAAAAACTTTATGAGAGCCTGTTTGGGCCCAATTTTTTTATCCAAAAAATTAATTTTTTGACCGTTATTTCACTATTTCAGCCGTCATATTTGACTTCTTCTCTCACAAGTGGATCCCACTTTTCTCCTAACGGTCAAAAAATCAATTCTCAAAATCACTCCCAAACAGGCTCTGAGTAAACCATATTAATTAGTGTTCGAAGTTAATTTCTTAAGGAGTTTTTTTCTTTCAAACGAGCCCTTAGAGGAAGCCTTGTTAGACCACTTCCTCTAAAAAAATTTAACTAAAAGATACATTTTTATGAAATTAAGAAAACTAATTCATGCTAATGGTCCGAGCAAGATACCATGAAAAGAATTAGGTGCCCATGTGATAGAGTTCCTACAATTTTGTAGAAGAACTTTCTAAGTAAACCATTTTAATTAGTGTTTGAAGTTAATTCTTTAAAAAACTTTTTCTTTCGAAAGGACTTCTAGAGAAAGTTTTATTAGACCAGGCTACTTTAAAAAAAATTAATTAAAAAAAGTATTTTTATAAAATTAACTAAACGAATTCAAAATTAGCTTTTGAGTCAAAAATCATGTTAAAACGGATATTAAAAATGATAGATCTTCAAAACTGGAATGATAAGATCCAATTGACACAACCACAAATTAATATAATATATATATATATATATATATATATATAATAAATATTATTTTATATTGTAATTAATATATCATTATCTTAATGTAACCTTTAATATTTTAATATTATATAATTATAATAAAATTACATCTATATATGTGAGCTTCGATTTTAAGTAGTAAACTTAATTTAAATAATGTAATTTAAGTAATTAAATTTAACTTCATTAATGTATAATTTTAAGTACTCCAATATAAAACAATGAGTATTATACTTAAATAAATATTAAATGAAGTTAAATTATATTTAATGGTACTATATTAAATATACAAGAGTATAATTGATATATAACTAAATATATAAGGGTTAAATTGGTATTTAAAAGTTTCTCCTCAATCTACACTTTTAATATATTTTAGATGTAGATTATGGGGCATTTGATTCCCATTTTTCCAAAACTACATATTTCCTTATATTCTTTTCATTTTCATTAAAATAATATTACATGCAAATCGATTTTTTTTTAATCACACATTCTCCATTAATCTATTATTCCAAAATACATTTTTCAAAAAGATTGTGGCTTAAACACCCTAGGCCCTGTTTGGCACCCATTTTTATCAAAATGCATTTTTCTCTCTCTTCTTTTCAACCACACATTCTTTATTAAAATAATATTACACGTAAATCAAAAATTTTTTCTTATTTTTCAACCACACATTTTCCATCAATTTACTATTCAAAAATGTATTTTCACATAAAAATTCCTACCAAACACCCTCTAAATTCTCAAACACTTGATAGAAAATCAAACCAGACCGTTCCGTTGACGACATGTGACACCAACCAGCAGTTTTGAAAAGATGGTTTTAGATCAATTATTAGAGTTACTGATTTTTGCTCACCTAATTTTAACGCTAATTTATTTTCCAGCCCTTTGCTGCATAAATACTAAAAATAGGAAATAACAAGTAGGTCACCAATTCTAACCTCTATGACAGAACAAGTTGGTAATAACATTTCGTATAGTTGTATTGTCTATCTTCAGTAATAAAATTTCAAATTTTGTTCATTAATTGTTATTTTACGTTTCCTATATGTCAAACTTGGTGAGTTTTTCTTCCCAACTCAACGGAATGTAGAAGGCTAACTACTCTACCTCCTTACCCAAGTGGGTTGATAAGATTGGCATAAATTGTGAGTGTGATCGTATACCAATTTTGAACTAAAGAATAAATATATCTATATGCATTTGTCGTTATATCTATTCGGAGTTCTGTTATTGTACTTACAATGAGCTTACTACACGTGTAAGTGGATGGGATTTCTTCGGGACTTCGTGCATGGATGCAGACAGTTCAAAGTGATGCACATTTTCACAAAGGTCATATGATAGCTTAATGAATATTTGGATTTTTTTTTGGTTGTAATTGGAAATAGATAGTGCAAATGTAATAAAAAGTTGCTGAAAAGGTTATCTGGGGGACCATTGATGCAATGTTATCTTTCATTTATTGTGTTGTAGTTTAGAAAACCACCTAAAATTCTAGTTGCATTAATTTATTGTTGTTTAAATTGGTGAAGTAAGGCGGGGGGTTGGCCAGCAAACATGACTTGGTCGGTGTTAAATCGTCATTTTCACTAGTCCGTGAGGGCCAATTCAAGTCATTTCGTCAATTCCTATGGATTCAAACGCTGTTTAGTCATGCAAATTAATATGACTTCACCTGTAAATGGATCAGCGTTTGCGAGTAGCATCGGTTTTCTATCCATTTGTAAATTTTTCAGATTAGTGAGATGTATATGGATTAAGATCTGTCTGACAATAATTTTGAAAAGTCAAAAATTGTTTCTGAGACTAATAAATTGCTTTTGAACATTAATAAGTGCATACTATATACTTATTTGGGCTTCTATTCTTAATTATTTATAGCCATATTAAGCGGGGATATCTAATAATTTAGTGTATATGATTAATGGTAGGTCAAATAACTTGAATA